CGAGATAGGCAGACAGGCAGGCAGGCAGACAGACAGACGGACGGACGGACCGAACGACCTACCGACAGACAGACAGATCAAGAGAGGTATTCTGAGAGACACATACATTAACGCACACATGCATGCCGAGCGACATCCACACCTTTGCGGACATATACATATATAACCAGGCCAGGGAAACTTCGCAGTGAAGTCTAGGAAAAGGGCAACTTGCTGATCTCGGTGGCAAGATTCCCTGAATATAGAGGCTGAATAGCTGGCAATACTATCCCAACCCTTTGGAAATTCATGCACACCGAACCTCATTCTGATTCACCTCATTCTGATTCCCATGCCGCTATATTGCGCTCCGAGCTCTATTCGGTGCCCTGAATGAACCAGCAGAACTAGGCCACGAAGAATCCTTAGGCCGCTATCGCTCAACATTGCCGGTTGCGAGGCCCAACAGCAACAGGGACTTTGCATGCGAATCGACGAGTTTAGCTCAAAGAAGATGTACCAAAACAACAACATGCACCAATCCCACTATTAAGTCTTAACCATTAGTGGACATGCAGGAGCAGGCCAAATAACTATTGCTGGAGATGCAAGAGCAGGCCGAATAACGTTTTAACAACAATAAAGATGATAAACCAACAATAACCATGGACAACATGATGATAACAAAACTAGTGGCATCATAACGGCAAGAATACATTTATCTATATATATATATGTATATGATGTGTATATACACTTAATTACCTATTTAGGAAGTACGACTAAATCAGCGCCCAGCCAGCCGGGGCCTTGTCCTCTTTGTGCCAGAGGTACTTAACTTCATCGAACTCCTCCTCCTGTCTGTCGGGGCTCATCTTGAATGTTCGGTTTAGGGTTTAGGGCTTAGGGCTTGTAGGTATACATCTAAGTATGAACTAAGCCTAAACCTGAACCTGAAACCATGGCTCTATCAGCATCCCAAAGTGACGTCGGGGGGCTTCGGGTTCGGGATTGTCAGTCTGGTGAAAGCTAGGGGTCGCGTCTGCTAAGGAATAAACGAGCAGACACAAACTTAAGACGATACTAGCCAGGAGTAGAGCGTTGTTTTCCTGCAAATGAAACTACGAATATGATGATGGAAACAACGGCTGCTACTCCGGTTTCCAGATACTTTAGTTCGTGGGGCTAAATGATTAGGAAACACTCCACCCTGAACCCTAAACCCAAACCCCAAACCCCTAAACTTTGTAATGCTGAGCTTTGAGCTAGGCTGTGAATCCCCTAAACCCTAAACCCTGAACCCTAAGTAAAGTCTACAGGCTTCGGGGTCAGGGCACGTAAAGAGGGGCCTTTATACGTAGAATATGGTTTTGGGTGTTCCTGTACAGGGTCCCTTTAAGGGTTCTATAAGGGCTATTCTGTACAGTAATGGCTTAGGGGTATAGTAAGATCATACATGACTATACCTATATATGGGCTACGCGGGGGCCTAGTATTAACCATTCCAATCCCAGGGTGGTCTCGGCGCGTTCGTTGTTGAAACCATATCATCGCAGGCCGGCAAGCTGAGGTTTCCTGGTCCGGCAAGGAGAACTTCTGGAAGGAAGTGTTCCTGAGCGGGGATCGACAACTCCTCCGGTTTTGGGCACCCCTAAACCCTAAATCTTGATTCCAGTGGTCCTGCTCCATAAGATCGTAGAACAAGGCAAATCCTTTCATGTGCAACTGCACCACCATACCCAGAGGGTCCATATATCTTAATATTATGGGATTAGGTCGCCAAAAACAGAATAAACATGGTCTTTTGGAACCTAGCTCCATAATGCTCATTCTGTATTAGTATACATGGACCCTCTGGGACATGTACGTATATATATATATACACACACATGTGTGTGCGTATCTTTCTGAAAGGCAGCAGGACAGACAGTCGGGCAAGCTTCATTAATTGGAACAGAGATTTGGGACATATGATGGGAAGTATATAAAATTTTCTATATATATATATATATATAGAGAGAGATACATATATATATATACATACAAATATATGCATGGACTATCAGAGGACAGTCTTTCTAATTCTCGGGGTTTCTGTACGAAAGGGAGAACTGAGACCCACAGTTATCAAAAGTTTTCTTGTGAAGATTTGGAGTTTGAATCCATGATCCGAAGTCACATTTAGGGCTGAGAGTTAAAGGGGAGAGCGTCAAAGGAATTCGTCGGAAAGAGGAGGGGTGCCCAAATGACGGTCCGTCCTGCGCACGACTTTGGATTCTCAAGGCTGGTGATCGGCTACAATGTGAGTTTAAGGTCTAGGGTTGTTACAATGTGTCTGTCTCCTGGTGGCGAGCAAACTGTTTCAACTGCCATGACTTCCGAAATCCGTCAGAGACGCTCAGGAATTCGAAGGCCAAGTCGTGCACACATCAGCTCCTTAAACCTCCCTTTCGCTGCACAGGATGATAAGGCGAGTTCGCTCCACCAGATCCCCAAGAATGCTTGCCAAGTATCAGCAAATACATCGTCAGATCTGGCACAGGGCCCTTGCAGAACCACCTAGGCCAAGCAGGGGCTTTGCATCTTGAATCGGAAATTGCAGTACCTTGATGTTAACATATAGAAAGACCTCAACAGAGTATGAATACTGCGATTCTGATTCCGCCTCCGACTTCTACCACAGTCAGGCTCAAGGGCAACAGCTTCCCTTAGTGGCACAAAGTCTTGTCCTAAGCTTCAGTCAATTCAACGGCTGACTCGTTCCACGCCTAGTTTTAGCATATCGTAGATACGACCTTTCTTCTGTTATTCTTGGTGGTACACTGCATCCACCTGCTGTGACTGACGCGGCGGATCATGCACCGTCCGGGGAGGACCGCATTCTCAGACACACAAGCACATGCCCCTTAATGAGTTAACAATGGCAATATTTTGAGCCAAGAGAGGAATGCGTTGGGTTCAGGGTCTATGCCCTACAAATGAAGCACGTCTATGGTTTTTGGCTCACGGCTGAAAGGGTTTTGCGGTTTGGTTTCACTGTTTTTGCTCGATCAGCATGCAGGCAGGCTTAGTGCTTCAGAATATCCCTCTGCCAGGAGGACTCTAGTCTGTCATCGGAAGCAAAAAGCATGTACCGGTAAAGAAATACCATGACCATTCCCTGTATATTTACCGTAGAACCTCACTCATCTCGAAACTCAACCTCTGAAACCCCCCGATTTACAGCGAAATCCCTGGATTTAATCCTGATTCTAAACCCGGTAAGCCCTAAATTGCCCGGAACATATGGATCCTACACCACCCCGGAAAGCCTTTGAAGAACTTCATGGAACCCTTATCAAACCCCATACGACACTGTTCTATTTAGTACTGCCCCTATGTCAAGACTGAACATACCCGGATAAAACCCTACAAACCTCGCAGTACCGAAGGAAAAACCCTCAAAAACCCAGAAAAAAGGCGCGAAATCCAGAGAGACCCTGCAAAAATCACTCCGGGGTCCCGCTCCTCTGCTTCTCCTCCTCAGACAACCTGAGAGCGCTTAAGCTCCCCGGCTTCTCGAGAGATGGGGGGTCCTTTAAGGGTCCTTTTCGGGTGCTATAGAGGTGATTACCAGTAGGTTTAAAGGGCTCCGAGTTTTTGGGGTTTTAGGGTGGTTCAGGGTTTGGGGGCTTTGCTTTAAGGATAAGGGTTTAGGGTTCGGGGGTGCCTTACACTATCATGGGAAAATCCGGTATACAAGATGGCAACCAGCAACGGTTTGCAGTACCTGCCAGTTTGAGTAGGCTAGTATAGAAATCATAGAAGTCGGCTCCTTCCAATGGTGCTTTTCAGAACAACTACGCGCAAACTAAATACCTTCAAGTGACCCTTTTCGAGAGTAAACAGTTTGTGCAATAAGCAACGTAACTGGCAGTAGGACTGTGGACCCATCCCAGCAGCCAAGGCCCAAACGAAATCCAGAAGTTCTCGGCCGTAACCATGCGGCGGGATGGGGATTTCGGAGTACCAGTGGTGCCCGAATATAAACCCTTCCAGACCAAAAAACAGTTCTGGGATGCTACATTGATAGAACCACCCACAGAGAAGTTGCCATGCAGTTGTTCTCAATTTTCCCATGCCAAGAAGCTCAACAGTTGGTGGATCCTGCTCCATTGGCTCCGGATCGTCTGCTTCCTTGGAGCACAAGTTTATGGCTTAATTAGGGATGCTTAGGGCCCGGGCTTGGGGCTTTTGGTCGCACAGATTTGTGATCTCAGGCTTGGGTCTTCACTGTTTCGGGGCTTACAAGGCTTTCAAGGCCATGGAAGCCCAAAAAAGCGCTCCAAGGCGAGTTTGTTTCCGGCTTGCCTGGGTTCCCTCCCCGCCTCTAAACCCCGAAACCTGCACTGCAGGGGTCGGCTCTGAGCTTGTCATTTTTGGGATGTGAGGACGGCTGGATACCTGGTTTAGGGTTTAGGGTTTTGAAGTTTAGGGTTTAAAGTTTAGGGTTTAGGGTTTAGGGGTTAGGGTTTAGGGGTTAGAGTCAGCTGGGCTACCCTAAACATACCAAGGGAAACACTACATCCTGAACCCTACACTGCAGGTAAGTCTCGTCATCTTCCTCGTCCTCGTCATCTTTCTCTTCCTTCAGTGCTCAGGGTTCTCGTAGCAGTGACGAATGCGTGGCCAGCTGGGCAAAACAAACGATCACATCCTTTCTTGTCGCAGCGGAACTGAGAGGCATGCCTGGTACACGGCCTCACATGGGAACCCTAGCTAGCAAAAGAGAAAAATAAACCGGTCTGCCCGTTCAACTGCACAACGGGGAGTCTCTGTTGAAGGAAGCCTTCACGTCCCAACCCTGTCTTGCTCCATTCCTGTACTGGATGACAGCGGCGTAGGCCCAAAGGGACTTTCCACATGCTTGGCACAGGAAGTCGGAAGTCGGAAGGCAAATCTCAGCAACTTGTCTATGCTCATGCTCCCAGCCTTCGCTGAGAGCACAGATCAACCCTAAAAGTGATAGGAAACTACGAGCCTCAGAGTTGGCGCAGCCGCTTCTCCCATTGCTGCTTCTGAAGATCTGCACCATCAAAGGCCGGGACGGGAGGGATCTCCTTCTCCAGCTTTCTTGCGAAGTCAATCAACATCGCCACGAGCTGATCGCAGGTCTCCTGGCTAAGGGCCACAGGTCCCTCCTGAGGCAGCTCCCGGCCCTGTCGGCGCAGCTCGCAGGCCTCGGCAAAGGACAGTAGCCGGGCATATCTTAGCACACCCGAAAGATCCGTCTTCTGTGAGACCATTGTGCCTGCAGGCGAGCTCAAAAAGGAGACGGCGAAGTGCTCCAAGCTGGAGACATGTCTCTTCGAACGATGTGGATCAACCTTCTTAGCGAGGAAGGCATCTAATATGGGGTCAAGCTTGGCGGCTCCTCCGTTTGCCCTTTCAAAGGGCTCCAACCAGTGCTTGCGGTACAGAAGCTCCTGCTCTTGCAAGGATAGACGCATGGAAGGGGCCTTGGTTGCTCAGCTCATAAGCTCCCCCAAAAGTGTACACCTTCAGTTTTGTAGTGGGTAATATTATCCCCCAAAGTGTAAAGTGTACTCATTCAGCTAAGGGGCTAAGACTAAGTTCCGAAGCAAGTCGGCAGCGCGGAAAGGAACACCGGGGGCTGGGTTGTGCAGCAAGGAACCCATTGAAAACAAGCTCTTCTCTTGCCTGGGTGGTAGTTTTGGGGCCCTGAAAAGAATTTATGAATAGCTACCTCTTTAGAAACCATACGGGAAATTCTAAAGCTTCCCAAATTGCCACCTAGTTGCAGCCATAGGAAGACTTGTGGGAACTCGATGTCATTCAGTATCTCACAGAAAGTAATCGACATCACATCTGGCGCCGTTCGGACAAGCCCTGCCAAAAGCTCTCCTTTCGCCGCAGCTCCTTGGTGCCTCTTGAGTGTACTGCGAAGCTGGTTGTCGAATATGCCCTTGGCTCGTGACTGAACCGACGTCGAAATGCTCGCCTCCTTTTCCTGCATGTTCGATACCTTGCCTGCCTGGAGGTACGCATAACGGACGATGCCTCCAGTAATGACACGGAAGAAAGGGATGCGATCCTCAAAGGAAGGCATCAAGATTGGCATGCCGAAGGCTTGGGCGCTACCGTCGTCAATCTCTTCTTCGCGGCCATGCACCTGGCCTTCTGCCCATTCATAAACCCGATTGGGATCCTTGAAAAGGAGTGCATTCAGTTCATGCACCAATGTCATGAAGCTTGCGCCACTTTCCACTAACTCGAGAGCAGCGTCTCGGAGCGAAGAGAGCAAAATGGAAGTGGTGGTACTACGTTGCTGCCCATCCAAGCACACAAGAAAACCATCGCGTTCCTTGAAGATTGCCTTTCCTGTTAGATGGAATCCCAGGGAGGTTTTGGGCGACATGATGTCGTTCCACCAGCCCTTGATTTGATCGTCACTCCAACAATACGTGCGCTGGAAGAGAGGGATCACAATCTGACGAGGATCGTTCAGCAAGGTCCGGAAGGCCATCGGCTTTATTGTCATTCGGCTGTCCCGGCCATGCAAGCCTGGGCACTCATAGGCGAAATGCTGCAAACCACTCTTCGGCTGTGCAGCGGCCATCTTCCCCAGTCGAGGAGCACTGAGCAGCAAAGTCGGGCCAGGGTGATATAGGGGCCTTCATAACTATTTTTAATTATAGGGTTAAGTGTATATTCTACTACAATTATAATATAGGGTTTGGGGTATATTATACTATAATATTATACTAAGCAACCCTACATTCCAAGGCCAGACGCTGCGTGACCCGAGTCGATCAAACAACTTGCCAACGCTGCTCTTTACTCTTGACATTCTGTAGATGATATAAATCCTGCA